AGAGAGAGAGAGAGAGAGAGAGAGAGAGAGAGAGACAGAGAGAGACAGAGAGAGACAGAGAGAGAGACAGAGAGAGACAGAGAGAGAGACAGAGAGACAGAGACAGACAGAGACAGAGACAGACAGAGACAGACAGAAGGAGACACACACACAGACAAAGAAAGAGAGAGAGAGAGACAGATAGACAGATACAGAGACAGACACAGAGAGAGACAGAGACAGAGAGGAAGCAAGCAGAGCCAAGAGTAATTCTGCTCAATTACATAATAAAAAAAAAAGAACTCTGCAAAAAGCAAGTCCGGAAATATAGTGTATCAGTGCATCAACTGCCTCAGTAATTATATGTCATATTCTACTCCACAAAGATGTGCTAATTCAAAGAAAAACAGTGGGGCTAGGGAGATAGTTTACTGAAGGAGTATTGCCTTGCTAGTCAAGGACTTGAGTTCCATCCCCAGAACCGATTCGAAGAAGAAGGTAGGCGTGGTAGCTTGTGCTCGCAACCTTAGCAAAGGTGGGTCTCTGGGACCCTAGGCTAGCCTGCCTGTTGAGTTCAAGACCAGACAGAGACATTGACTCAAAACTAAAAGGTAGTATAAAATCACAATTGACTGTACTGCCTAAGGAGCTAAGGTTGTCCTCTGGACTCCATAAACTGGTTCATTCACAATCCATTCACACACACACACACACACACACACACACACACACTGGCACTATATATCTTTAAAACAAAAGTCTAAACAAAAAAGGATTGAGATGAAGTTGACTTGGATATCCATTTAATCAAAAGTCAGGGAGGACGTTTGCTTTCCTGGGAAGTTGTAACAGAAACATGGCCTCAAGGAGCAGAAGGCTGGAAGCCAGGTCCTCCATCTCCTCCCTCCATTTTCCTGTTCTTCTTATTAACCTTGCTCTTTTCATCTTAACTCCGTTTGTAAAACTCCTGTCTCGAAGCGCCCGCTCCCCTTCCTGTCTCCAGCTCAGTGGATTAGTAGAACCGGAGGTCAGATGTGGGCCGCTTGCAGCCACAGGTGGCTCCTGCTTGTAAACAGAAAGCTGAGGTGGTTTTACTGTTTATGTGGAAGTTGCTGAGAAGAACAGTGGGTGGATTAACGGGAAACCTCTTCTTCCTGGGAAAGATTGGAGCCATTCAAGAGGGGCGAGCTCTCTATAGGCTGTTTCCCACTGCCTAAGAAAAGCACACATGCACTCCTTCACCCCCAGGAGATAAGCCATAAGTCTATTTTATTAAAGGTAATTAATAACCGTGTCATGGCAATTGCCACTCTGATGTTTTTAAAATGGAAACACCCGAGGGTGCGACATACTGGAGGGAGAAAATATCTCTGGTTTTACAAACATATGTAAAAGGAAGCGTCGACTAAGGAGGCGGTGATGGCCTTGAACAAATGGTTCATTCTATAAAACACAAGCAACGTTTTGCGGTTTCCTCTGAAAACCATTTTCTGAATATAAAGCTTCCTGAAAGTGGAGATGACAGGAGTCTGGTAACGGAAGTTAAACTGGGGCCGTCTTTCCAAACGCTATAGCAGTCGAGTTGGCCGCGCAACTTCCTAGGACGAAGGTGCACTCCATGGGCTCAATACTTACTGACGGTTGGTGCTGAGGCTTGGGAGTGCTTCCTGCACTGGGTGGTTCATTTCTAGTCAATTTTCTGCAAGTGGAAGGTCACCTTGTAAACAGGACACACCTCTCTGAACTTGTTCCTAGGAACAGTATTGTAGAGTAAGATGGGTCCAAGCACTTACTTCATCTGATTTCTCGATGCACAGTGGGCTGCATATCAGCAAGGGAAGGGATACTCCGGACTCCTCTGCTCCCTGTCGATCACTCTTCAGAGGAGATAAAATGGAAATCAAAGAATTCAAGCTCCTTTGCTTCCTTCTAGGTCAGTTTCTCCCCGTCAGTGTAGAGATAACTGCATTAACTTCAAAAATCTGTTCACATCCACGAGCCTCGATCCTGAACCGTGTAGCTGTTCAATACACACATGAGATGGCAGGCGTGAACTGCTGACAGTCATGTTAATGACAGCCCCAGACATTTCTTCATATTGGCTGTGTTAGTAATGCAGAGAGAAAATGCCTAAGCATCTGTGAGCACTGGGGAACATAATACATACTGAAGTGCTAAGAGAATATATATCATTTGTGCTAGTCAAAAGAAGATAAAAGAAAAACACAATTATAAATGAATGGATCTAGTATGTAAGAGAAAGAGTGGGTAAAAGGAAGAGCCATGAGTTTTTAGCCACGATTCCCACATTTGGTGGGAGGTGTGAACTTCAAGGAGTATGTACAAGGCTACTCCAGACAGCCTGTCTTAGGATGTTAAGATACTGACAACCAACCATGCTGAGTTCAAAGGACACCCAGGGCGCCAATAAGAAGACCCTTTGTCCAGGTCTGACTTCCTCTGGACAGCAAGTATAAACATAGTTCATGGTCCTCACAAAAGCCCGACTATCCATCAGGGCTTTGAGGACCCAAAGCATATAGAGAGCTCTGAAAATGAGATGCCCCAGGGGTATTTCATCAAAACATCACACTGATACCCCCCTTCACTTCCTCTTTCTGTCACAGCAGACTGTTCTCATATGCAAACTTATTTTCATGTGAAAAAATGTCACATGTGGGAGAATACTGAAGGAAGGCAAAGTCCAGCTCTGATAGCACTATGTAAGGAAGCTTTCTTCTCAGATCTGCCATCAGTCTGTGTCTCGGTCCCCAGATTACAAAATTCAGTGTTTAAACAGAACTTGTCCTCAGGGTCTCACCTCTCTTGTTGTAGGCAAGGCAAGGCTATCCCTACATCTGTGGGCATTTCAAGGAAGCAGGTAGATAATTATTTAATCAATGGCTGGGTTCTTAGGCCTCTGTCTTCTCAGAAGGAAGCCACCCAAAGACCTGGGATCTTCCTCATTCTCTCAAGACTGACCTGGCCTCCATGTTTTGCTAGTTAGTTCTGTCTATTGCTAAATCATGTAGCATATTGGCTTGGAAACTATCTGGCTTTACTCCCCAGATTTGCTGAAAGAAATATTCTAGGCCTTCTCATCTCAGTAATCATCTTCTCAAAGTTCAAGATAGTATTAAAAATGACCATTCCTAGGGCAGTAGAGATGGCTCTGCAGTTAAAACCATGCACCACTCTTGGACAGGACCCTGACTCAGTTCTCAATGTCCATGTTGGGGATCTCACAAGTACATGTAAGTCCAGCACCGGGGTGTCTGTCCCTTCCTCAGGCGTCGGAGGCATCTGCACTCATGTTCACATACACACAGACACACATATTATTTGGAGAAGCAATTGTATCTGAAAACATGTACCCAAATGCTTTAGAAGGTCAGGAAGTCAGATGACAGAAAGCAAGAGAACACAAGTGAGTTAGGAAAAGCTGTCTGAGGGTGAATTACATGTTTTTGTATGTAGTAGTGGGACATCAACTGCCCTGAATTGGTACTTCCGTAAATTCCAGATTAAATCAATAAGCTGGATTTGAGCTTCTCCCTCCTGCAGCCCGTTTTAACTGGATTCTGCTAGCACTCCACTGGATTTGAGCTTCTCCCTCCTGCAGCCCATTTTAACTGGATTCTGCTAGCACTCCATGAAAGTGTTCATGGGCCGTTGTCAAGAAGTGGTGCAGTCATCCTACTTAGCCCTCTTTAGTTCTCTGTCTTCTCCCCTCTATGTGGGGATGGCTCCTGTGTCCCACTGGGTTGACAAAATGAAGCGGAGCCCCCTGCAAAGTCTGTGAACCTGTCTGGGTCTCACATCAGTATTCTTCAGGCTATGATGATGATTTACATATTCATTGCTG